TCAGCCGAGGCAGGCTCAGGGCGGCTTACATTAAAATGTTAAAATGCATTAAAACATACATTCATATCACATTCATAACACATAACAAATTCATAACACATAATAAAAACTCGTGTACATGACTAACAAATAGCAAATAAGTGCAGTTAAAGTGCTAGTGGCGATAACAGTAGATCATGATCCCTATAGGCCAATTCCATAGTGTTTGGTCTGCCCTGTGGCAAAGACCAAATAGTTCTAAACAATTGGGCCAGGCGTGAGCTTGCAGACACAATCGTGGCCACATAGAACTCTCTCTTTGCAGCTTTGACTGCCACTTCATAGGATCTCATAAACGTCCTGTAAGATGTTCTTGTAGCTTCACTGCATAAACGCCACCACTGTCTCTCTAGCTGTCTTAGCCTCCACTTCATCAGCTGCAGCTCCTGGGTATATGACGGAGCCAGCCTAGAGCGAGGGCGCAGAGGGCATTGAGGAGCGATCTTGTCGATGGCCACAGCTATGCCAGTTCTCTACAAGCTCATCCAATGATCCGTCTGGGGGTATTGGATCCCGCAGGGCCATATGAAGCCACATAGGGTCCATTTGGCTCCATGGGTGAGCTAAAATACGCTCGCCTCCCAAACATGGTTCGGGTGACACATTCACACAGGCCTTCAGGGCATGGTGGTCCAACCATGGCACTGCCAAAGCAGTGATCTGGTCCACTGTATCCCCCGCCGTGAAGATCAAATCAAGCATGTACCCGGCCTGATGTGTGGGGGCAGTTATATATTGGGCGAGTCCTAGCACTGCCATGGACGACACCAGGTCCATCACCTGTTTGGGGGCCGCATCATTGGCATGGACATTGAAGTCACCCAGGACTATCAGTCTAGGATGCTCCAATGCCCAGCCCGACATAGCCTCCACCAGGGATGACAGGCTATTGGTCGGTGCGTTGGGCAGCTGGTACACTAACCAAATAGTTCAACTTTCCCCAGCTTCCCATACTAGGCCAGTGCACTCAATGCCCATGAGCTTCAGTGGCAGGAGTGCCCTGAAGGAGTAAGCCTCCCGAATGAATATTGCCACTCCTCCCCCCCCGCCCCTTGGCCCACGATTGGTGAAGGATCGAGAACTCAAGCAAAGCCAACTGGGAGAGAGCCATTGTCTCCCTGTCTTTCATCCAAGTCTTGGTCACGCACACCAGGTCCGCACCCTGCTCTAGCAGAAAATCTTGGAGGATTGAGGTCTTATTATTTATGGATCTGGAGTTGCACAACACCAATATCGGAGGGGGGTAATTAGTCCTAGCCCCTATACCTGCTACCTTCAGGATGGGACGCAGGCTGGAAGGGGGCTGAGGTCCTTCTCCGTCCCCTTCCCTTGGCTTCCTGCCTGGCCCCACTGCTATACTTTCCCCTCCCCAGGAGCACTGATATCCCTTGTCCAATCTTCGCCATCATAGGTGGCCTTCACAGTGCCTCAGACCAACCAGTAAGTTAGCTGATGGATAGAATATGCTGTTTGAGTGCTACTAGTAGCAGTCAGCAGTTCTCCTGATATTCCCAGTGCTGCTAATCCTTAACTAATCCATCTCTCTCCTAACAAATAATCCCTCTCTCCTATCTCACCCTATCTCCTCATTATAAGCCATCCAGTAATTCATTTCATCTAACAGTTGATTGCTGTATAATATCCCCATTCAGCTGGCCAGTGAATTAATAAAGGCCAATGAGAAATCACAGTCTTTACAAAAACCCACGTTAAACAACATTCAGTTCCTAAGCAATCAACTTTTACACAATTTACTCTATAAGAATCAATTTCAAGTAATCAATTCTGTTGTATTTTTCTGGTGGCTCTGAATACTGTTTGTAGGTTGTGTTTTTCCATAAGTTTTCCCATCTGATCAGTGATTCCTTTGATATTCGGCAAAAAACCCCACTTATCCTATGGGAGTGTTTTTCCTCAGTTGTTTGTTTTACCTTTGGTTTAATTGATCTTCTGATTTCATTCTTGTTGCTCTTGTTTGCTATTTAATATTTATAGCAGTGATGGCTAACTTCTGTTCATTTTTCTTTTCTTTATAAATGAAACTTTGGGTAAACTTACTTTGATTACTGTTCTGATGGAGCTTCTGGGGAGGGGTGAGCTGTGAGCTTCCTCCAGAAGCATCTGACTGGCGGGCGTAGGGAACAGAGTTCTGGGCTACATCGGTATATTGCTGGATGTTGCAGTGTAGCAGCGATTTGCAGCTGAGTTGGCTTATCCACATAGGACAATCCAGTTGCAAATAATTGTTGTTGTACAATAACACCACAATGTTCAGTAATGTGTGGATGCAGCTCTGGACTGCCTGGACCCTTGGTCTGATCCAACACGACAATTCTTAGATAAAACCAAGCTGAAGGAAGGGATCTGCTAGCTCTCCTGCACTCCCTATTTATATCATCTGACTATGTTGCAACCAGGAAGTTTGGTAGATGTCTACTTAAGGTGGAACATTATATGTTGCAAGCAATATAGGGGGGGGGGGTCTCATGTTTGCCTTGTGAAGCTAAATGGCATTTGATAGGGTGGAAAGGAAATGGGAGGAGACACTTAATGTTTTCCCTCAATCTGTCAGTTCTCCCCAGCAAATGCCACCCTCCTTACTTTTTTTTAATCCCACCCCAAATCTGGGCTTGGATAGAGATGTAAAATTTCCGGAAATTTTGAAGCTCGGAAAAAAACCCAGGTTTTTTCCAGTTTTTTTCAGGGGGGGGGAACGGAAAGTTTCGGAAAAATTGAAAAAAATGCTACATTAGCACTTCTTTTGTCTTTTCTAGATTGAAAGTCATTCTGTTACTTTAGGAACATAAAATATGACTATGGACATTTTTCCTTGGCATGAAATTATCACAACTAGCATATTAAAAATATAGTGTATCCAAACAGTTATTACAAACAGAATACCCGCCCACATGCAAAAACAAAACTGAAACCTTTTTCTTTTCTCGTGACAATAGCACCTCCTAAAGGAAGAAATGCATATTTGAACACCTTGTCTTAAAATATTTTATTCATCATGTTAAAATAAAATGTTCCATAATCAATTTTTTTTCCCTTTTGTTTTCTTTTTTCAATTTTTCCAATTTTTCGGGGAAAAACAAAAAAGGCTTCAGGGGAAAAAAACGTTTTTTTTCTGAATTTTTCCGTTTTTTTTCCGGGCCTTCACATCTCTAGGCTTGGAGCCTGGAAATAAACCCGATTTGTGTAACAGACTGGAAGGGCGTTCACAAGGAAGAACTGGGGTGTGGAGAGGTTTAAGCACTCACCTGCAAAGCCTCCCTTACAAATAAGCCCGGGTTGGCTTTTGTGTTTTTAATCCAGAGTTGCACCTGGGAACCTCACATTTGCTAGGGTGTGTAGCTCTTCTCTCTGAGACAGCTGTTGTACCAAAGCATAGCTTGTGAAGCATACTCCACAGACCTTGTAGAGGAGAACACATCTCTGGACACGAAGGCCAGGAGGGACTGTGTCTGACATTGTACAGATCCTGAGACATAATAAGGCTCTGCCTCACATGCGCATGCGCCCTCCCAGTGATCAACAAATCTGTATTATCCTCTCTCTGAATCGGTCTTCAGTTGTGTCTCAGTTGGAAAGGGTAGGAGAGACTGAGAGTTATTTTTAAAAAAATATTTAAGGTGAGTATCTCACCCGATTAAATTTAGAACTCAGCAACAATACTAGTTTTTCCCCAGAGTGTTTTGGCAGCGAGTTTGTGAAATAGGAAACCACTTTCACAAATACCCTCCTTCCCTTGTCCTTCTCTCCACCCCCACCCCAGTTAGACAACACACTTGGGAGAGGATCAGTGAAAAAGGAGACATAATTTCTTTCAGACACACACATTAAGTTAGAAATTTGATGATTTATCATATTTTCTGGCTTGGCTACGACCCCAGTGGAATCTGCTGTCCGACAGGCAGGGTGGCTGCTTTTTGTAATGCCTGTTGCAATGAAGGCCAGATAATGCTTGTAACATTTTGCCAGCATTTAGTGGAGGATTTAACCCTTTCCCCAGTGGCTGTTTTCCCTCTCAGATAGTCCTCCCAAATCGCTTTTCACTGCATGGGGTCCTGAGGGCAGGCAGAAAGCAGTTCTGGGGAGGAATTGTGAACAGAATGGGTTATGAGGATTGAGATCTGCTCCCCCCCCCCCATGCATACTGGTCTTCCACTGCCAATTTCTGCCTGCTGAGACTGCTTTTGGGTGTGGGTATTTTTTTTAAGGTCCAGTAAACGCCAAATGCATCTATGTATAATATCTAGCTTGCTTCCAAATATCTTTTTAATCTTCTACATGCATTGGAGAAACTATTGGACATGATTGTGATAGCAAACATGCCAGTACTTTGTTTCACTGCTTCTTAACAAAAAAAACAAAGTGAAAATTTCAGGAAGAGGTGAGGACTTTGCCCTGATTATGACAGCTCCAAAAATAATGGGCAAAAACATATAAAAGTCTTGACCGCATACTAACTTCTGCCTGCAAGAACCGAATGGTGACATCCTTTTTCATATTCATTGGCTGAATCGGTCTTACTTGGTCTCGGTTACAGTGTTCATTTTTGTAAGAATTGCAAATGCATCGATAAGTGATAATATAAGTAATTATGATTGTTTATTTAAAACATTTTATTCTGCTTTTCCTCCTGCTTGAAGAGGCTTAGAAAGTTATAATAAAAAGCACAGTCCTAATCGGCATCATTCAAGACTGGATGATTAACTAGCCACATGTTCATTGAGTGTCCTCATTTTACAATAGAGTCTAACAAAGCATAGAAGCTTGCAGATGTCTGTGCTGATTTCATACTTAGCTTTGCCATCGTGTGAACTGAGATGCAAGAGTGTCAGTTAAAGTAACTAAATGGAGTTTGAATACATCTCAATTAGCCTTTGGTAGCTGAGGTGAAAATCTGGCTTCTATCTCTTTGAGCTGTTTTATAAACCACTAACTTTCTCTTTTAGGGATGATTCTACCCCAGAAGATAATATTTGGAAAGGCATCCTCTCTGTGATTTTCTTCTTTCTAATAATCAGTGTATTAGCTTTTCCAAATGGTAAGTAATTTCATGTGTATTTATGTGCATTTTTCTTCTTTTTATCATGTTTCTCAGCCACTTCTTTTTTAAAAAATAGGGGTTTGCGCCAGTCTCCTACCCATACATGAAGGGTTCTTAGGCAGTGTGTTTCAGAACTACTCCAGAGTAGTAGTCTGTTTGTTTTAAGCATGGAGAATGGTTTGATTTAGGATAGGTCAGTCTTTCAGTCTGGTTCCTTAAATTGTCACCCAGGTGGGGTTTCTCACTTGAAGCAAGTGTATAAATTCAGCAGAATCCAGCGGTAAAGCCCTTCCTTCCTTCCTTCCTTCCTTCCTTCCTTCCTTCCTTCCTTCCTTCCTTCCTTCCTTCCTTCCCAGAGGAATGTTCAGAAATGTGATCTCCCATCTGCAGCCTGAAATTGTACAGCATCTTGATTCTGCTGGATTTACAAACTGGCACTTAGGTGGGTTCCTGGAAAGGCATCCGGCAAAGCTGTACAACAGGACAGTTATGACCGCAATGTGTAGCTGAAAAGGCATGCAAGATGAGTTGTGCACACTGTAATTCTCCTGTTTTGGCCCTGATTTACTTTTCTTTTGTGTGAACAAAGACTCTTGGTGGAAGGAACAGAACCCACCCACCCCCATGGTCCCCTGCTGATACATTTTAGTTAATTTATATATTACTATCCTGTTGCTGGCAGAGTCAAGCCCTTAAAGAGGAACCACCAGCCTCCTTCCCTTGTTTCAGCTTTCTTCCATGTATTAATGTTACTTGGGGCCTTCCTGGGGCAGTGTTAAGGGACCGTCAACCTTCCATGGATCAGAAGGGGTTTGTACTCCATCAGACATGTAAAAACATATTTGGTGAGTGGGGGTATAATAGCTAAGAGAATGGATCTGTGAGGTCACCATTTCAAATCTGATCCCTGCCATGATCTCACCAGGTGACCGTAAGCAAGCTACTGTATCTAAATCTTAGTTTTTCAACTGCAACGTGGGGTTAATAATACCAGCCTACACTACTGGTCTTTTGTCAGGGTTGCTTTGGTAATATGTTAGAAGGCAACAATGAAAGCACTGTGTCTGTAGCAGAAACAACATCGAACAGGAATTGAAATAAAAAGCAGGCTACACAGTCTTAAGGTTTTCAATTAGAGAACTGTGCTTCTAAAATGGAAACGTCTGCTTTTTTTCTGCCTTGCAGCCAATAAGATTAAATTTCTTCGCCTTTCTTCTTGTGATTATGTATTTAAAATACTGTGAATCCCATCTACCTCTTCATCAGAAACACTGCAATGGAAAAAAAATAGCCTTATTATTTTAAATAATCCGTGAGATGCTCCCCAAAAGAGAAAGGGAAGTTAATGGAAATAAAAATAAAGGCTGTGATCAGTGTTCCCTCTAAGCTGAGTTAGTGTGAGCTAGCTCACACTAACTCAGCTTAGAGGGAACATTGGCTGTGATCCTAAGTGTTCCCGCTTGTGTGCAAGTCCCATTAACATCTGTGAGATTTATGGCTCAGTAAATATGCTTAGGATCAGGGTGAGAATGTGGTTTCCCCCCCTGCTGTCTAATGGGGAAAGTGCCTTATGCTGAGTTCAGACCCTTGGTGCACATAGGTCAGCAGCAGCTCTCTGAGATCGCATTCATCCTTCACACTGGTATCCCACTTTCCCTCAAGTCTCGGACAGAAGTCCTTTCCAAGCTAATGCTTCAACTGAAAATGTCAGGGATTAGAGTGGACTTTTTACATTCAAGGCATGTGCTCTAGCAGTGAGCTGCGTGTTGTAATTGAAAAAGATTCAGGTCAAGTTCCTATTAAGCTTGAAACGCTGTTGGCTTGATCCTTTGTGTATTTACTCAGAAGCAAATCCCGCTAAGTTCCGTGGGGTTTACTCCCACATTGTTTGCCTAGGTGTTCGGCCTAAGAAGCTTTTTTTCCTTTGTTCTGAATTAAGTAAAGTTTTGTTTTTAAATTGAGATTAGTGGGTTAGGCCTATTTGCCACTTAGCTTATCCCATGAATTTCATATTCTTATATGTAAGAGCTTGCCTAGAGATCTGTCATCATTTAAAAAAAAAAAAAAGACCCTGGCTACAGAGGCTGTTTGTTATCTTGTCATTGCCATTGTTAGCACTAGATTAAGAGAGTGTGGTTTACAATGTGAAGCTTTAGGTAAATGCTCCACTATAGAAAGGAAGCAAAACTCCATAAATCTTGGTTAACTGCAGCCTACTGTTTAGTGTTCAATCCTGCTTCCCTCTTCCATGGAAAATTCTGTATGATTGCATTGGGAAGCCTGGTAGCTATGGCCATTATCTATAGCAGATGGTCCCTTGGTCCTGCCAAGGTAAATCAACTATGTCTAGCAATCGTGTGACATATAAGTGGAGGGTATTGCACTATCTGATTGAAGCAGTCCTTGTATTCGGTCCTGGGTGTTCTTGGCAAGTGACTGAATACCAGGGAGCACTCAGACAGGGAGATATAGCTGCTGATAAGAGCACTTTATAACTCCCCCAGGACTAGCTAGTTTCCCTGGCTACCATTGCCAGAACTGTCTGCCCTAGTAGCTGGGCTACAGAAGAAGCGGTGAGCAGCAGCCAGAATACCTCCCCAGAGTGATGTCGTTGCTAGGGGCTCCCAAGAAGCATTCACTCCATCATCCAAACTGCTGGTTATCAAACAGTGTCTAGTATCCCAGAGGAGTAATTGAGATCTTGCTGTATTGCCGAGGACACTCAAGCTACACATTATGAAGCCGGGCACCCGATAAATGTGAGCCTAAATCACTCGAAGGGGAAGGCCATGAAACACAGCAGTTGTGTACCTTCGGCAGCCCAGGGCACTGAGGGTTCGAGAGGCTTCAGACACCTCAAAATAAACCGCTTTGAGCCATATAATCTGGATTTGTATTTGATCTTAGCTGGTGCCTATTAAAGGTATTTATTTCAGTGGTGTAGCCAAGAGGACCGATTTTCCACACGAATTCAAGCTGTGTCTGTGGTATTTGATATCCCGGGGGCTATCTAATGTCTGGCTTACAGGACGTTTTAGGTGGCCTGTCTGGCAGCATTTTATGATGAGAGTGCAGGAGAGTACCTTTGCTATAGGAATGTGTATACTTAAGCAAGCTCTTGCATACTGTAATTGAAATCAAGTGCATCACAGAAAATTAGCATATTCAGAATGAACTGAAAGTAAGCCTCAGAAACTGAGAAAAGAGAAATGAGTGCTCAGGATAGAAGTGCTTCTTTAAAAGAATGTGGGTACATAACAAGAGGCTCTTATCTTAGGGGATCAGAGAGGAGTTATATACTTTGAACTGTCTTGATCAGGACAGCTATCAATGATGTGGGACAGAAAAAAAATCCTGGTGCTATATTTTCCCGTGGAAAAATTTCCACCCCACATATGTAAATATAGGCCATCTACAGTTGACAGAGCTAGTGCACTGCTACAGTAGGTGGGCTTAATATGGGATGTAAAACATGGACAAACCCCAGTGCTTGTACACGGTCCAGGCTTGTACATAGTGTTCTTTTGCTAACATTATTTAAATTATGTAACTTTGAATCGGAAAATTTTCTGATTCAGTACTTTCCCAGATAACCCACATTGCTGTAAACTACACAAAAGGCATGCTCCTTCTCTGTAACCCTTAGCAAGTTCAGATCATTTCTGTGGAGTGGTAGAGCCATGGTAGAGGGGTTCGAGAGCCATGGTAGAGGGGTTCGAGACCCAGGTTTGAATCCTCACTGTGCTATGGAAGGTTGCTGGGTGACCTTGGGCTAGTCACTCTCTGCCTAACCCACTTCACAGGGGTTTTGTTACCATAAAAGCCACTCTGGTGTGGTGGTTAGAGTGTTGGAGTGTTGGTGTGTAAGTTTCAGCACCTACATCTCCCAGATCTATTTGACAGCTGACAGATGCTATAGACCAGATCCAGCCAGTTTAGACTTGTCTGGGCAAAGACACAGTCATAATGAGTCAGCACTGTCCTGATTGGCTGACATATGTATATATGTAGAAATGTACCAATGTACTGTTCCCCTTGTTGGTGGATGGAGTCTGGCGAAGCAGTTTGTCTGCGGACTGTATATACTGTAAATAAATTCCTGTACATACCGTATTTTTCGGACCATAAGACGCACCTGACCATAAGACGCACCTAGTTTTTAGAGGAGGAAAACAGAGAAAAAAATATTCTGAACCCTGGGGCTCAGTATTCGGTCCATAAGACGCACACACTTTTCCCCTCACTTTTTTTTGGAAGAAAAAGTGCGTCTTATGGTCCAAAAAATACGGTAGTTACCGCTGGACTGAGTAAGTGTGGTTTACTATTGGAAGCCTCTGGTGAGAGACAGTCTGCTGTGCGTGCAGAACTGCTTCAAGGTGCTGGTTCACACAAACACACGCACTGTGTGACATGGAGTAGGAACTGGGAGACACAGGTTTGAATCCCCGCTCTGCCATGGAAGGTCTCCAGGTGACCTTGGCCTTGTCATTCCCTCAGCCTAACCTACCTCATAGGCTTGCTGTTGAAAAGGTAAAGAGCTAGTTTGGTGTAGTGGTTAAGTGCGCAGACTCTAATCTGGCAGAACCGGGTTTGATTCCCCACTCCTCCACTTGCACCTGCTGGATGACCTTGGGCAAGCCATAGTTCTGGCACTGCTGTTCTTGAAAAAGAGCAGTTCCTGTCAGAGCTCTCTCAGCCCCACCTACCTCACAGGGTGTCTGTTGTGGGGAGGGGAAGGGAAAGGAGTTTGTAAGCCGCTCTGAGACTCCCTTGGGTAGTGAAGGGCGGGGTATAAATCCAATCTCTTCTCTTCTTCTTCTAAACTGGAGGAATAGAGAATGATGAGGAAAGAGAGTATGAATATCTAAAACAGAAAAGCTGCTTTGGGCTGCTCCCTAAAAACTTGTTACGGTAATTAAAGTTCTTGGATTAATTCTAATGTCAAAGTTGTACGGTTTAGGAGTACAAAGTTTAATGTTGTCTTGAAGGCAAACAGTTAAAGATGGGTGAGCCCCATCTCCAGTGACCTATGAGTTTTGCTGCTTCCCCAATGGGATGAGTTCTTAGTAAGGGACAGGGTGTAAGTCCATCAAATTCACAGAACGACTCCAAATGTAGGCAATACTGTGGGTACATGTTATGATGTTCTGCAAGCAGCACTCACATGAATATATGTAAAAAAAAACCCACGTTTTCCCAGAGCTCTAGAGATGGAAGGAGTCAGCTCAGTTCTTGGTGGCTTTGACTGAGTCCTGCAAAACAAATGGGATGGCAACTTCTGAGTATACACGTTTCTGTCCAAACATTAGTAGTCTAGGTTCAGCATCCTCTTTAATGGATTTAGGTAAGAACCTCAATTTGTTACAAAGCTGGTATAGAATTGCATCTTTTTGGTTGTTCTAAGCATCTCTTGAGTTTACCTTTAGGTATATTATTGCAGGGGGCTTTTGTGTATCAGTTCATTTTCCTTTAACAGTAATTTCTCCTTACAGGGCCTTTTACTCGCCCACACCCTGCAATATGGCGCATGGTTTTTGGTAAGTCTGTTTAAACAATATATTTCTGTATTATTCTAAATAATAATCTAGGATTCCAGGGGCGCCTTAAAGGGTAATGAAATTTATTCCTGCAGCATGAGCGTTCGATGAGTCAGAGCTCATTTCATCAGATGTATGCATCAGTTCATCCATTCGACAGATAATGTCTATATTAAAAGCTGCAACAACCAATAGAGGTTTTGTGTGTGTGTGTGTATTGGGGGGGGGGGGGGGGAGGACTTCCAAAGAGAGGCCAGGTTAAAACAAACTTCAGTCAAATCAGTCCACTCAGAGTGGGTGAGGGTCGCTCCCAGATGTTGATAGTTGGGAAAAGTAGGATAAACATAAAATCAGATATACTTAATCTACAATCTATTGAGTTGGAATTCTGTTCTTAAACTAGTAAATACATCTAGTGGAGTGATTTCTCTTATCCCTGTGACAACAGACATTTCAAAATGTTGATGCAAAGATTAATGGAAGGAAATACAAACAACCTAGTTGAGGACCCAAACTGTAAATGCTGATTTTTACAGGCTTCTTTGTGAGTCACTAAAGTTCTCCTGTGCTTATAGCTGCTCTTTTCATCATGATCTGTTGAGATCTTTCTATCCCAGCTTTGCTAGTTTTTTTCGTTATTGGATGGGACGAAATGTTGTGTTTATTGTTTTTGTATGATTAAAATTTTCCTTGTCAGCTGACTCCAGTACTTGCTGTTGAAATGCAGAATATACATTTTCTTAATGATTAAATAAATAAAACTTCTCTGCAAGAGTTAACATGTTTGAAGTGCACTGGGTCTTGCTTGTTGCATTCATCAAATTGCCTCCATGCCTACCATTTAAAGATTAGTGGAGTATCTTTTTGAACTTTCAGGGGCATAGCACAAAGCCAGTTCAGATGCTCTTGTTACATATGATTACTACTTGTGAGTGAGTTCACTGTACTTTTAAAAATAGGCGCTGAGTATCAGACAAAAAGGAGTGGAAGACTGGAACACACAGCTGTACCCAGTCATCTCTCACTGCTGACCATACTTTGGTGCTCAGAGTGGGGTGGGGTGTGCAAAAAGCCTTCCCGCTTTTGCCACCTCTGTGAACATTTAAAGCCAGGGTTAAGCTTCAGTCTGTTGAAAGATTTGGGGAAAGTTTCCAAGAGTTCCTGAGATACTTTGGAAAATAGGACCCTGGCCTCCTGACACACTGAGATAGTTTCAAAAGTGTCACCCTGTATAGTTATAGTGTGCAGAACCTCCGAGCATCTGCTGCTGTTTTGTTAAGGTTGCAGCTGAGTTTCCATCATGAAGAAACCTTTGGATGCCCTTCAAAAACCTCAGCAAAGATGCATCTGCTCCATGAATAATGGATTATACCTTTTTGGCTGCTGTTCCATTTTTGTTCCAGATCCTGGAACGCTTCTTTGAACCTGTCCATGCTAACAACATACCAAAACGAGGGTTGGGAGTAGACCATGACAATCAGACATTCAGAGTATTTTGATTACAGCTCATAATTTGATCTTTAATTTACTTGCATCACAAATGCGAGTGTAAAAAACATTTCATTGTTTGGCTTGTTCTGATTGCCAGGCAATGCTACTACTAATGTAACATCAACATAAGAAGAGCTTCGATGGATCAGACCAAAGGTCTATGCAGTCCTGTACCCTGTTTCCCGCAAAAGTCAACCACATGTCACTGGGAAACCTAGAAGTAGGACGGGGAGTCCAAGGCCTCATGGAGGCTCTTTTGCTGCTCCCCAACAACTGGTATTTAAATGTACACTGGGTACAAACGAGGTTCCATTTTGCCATAACAGCCACCGATAAATCTATTCTCCCTCTTAAGCTATCTGACAACATTATACTGACAACATTATACTGTGAGGCTGTTAATACAGTTGTTTACAGAAGTACTTTCTAGGATTTGCAGTACAGTTGAGAATGATCTCAATAGAGGTAAACTTCCAACATTTGTAATTTATGCACACGTGGGGGGGGGGCTGAGGTCTGTAGTACTGATACATAAATTAATTGTTTGTGTGTGGTTTTAGGGTATTGTTCTTTGAACAAACATTTTAAGTATCTAGCCCACAAAAAAAATATTCATCAGTAAACCACCCCCCTCTGAATTTGTTCTCCTGCAGGTTTGAGTGTTCTCTATTTTCTGTTTCTGGTATTCCTGCTATTTCTGAACTTTGAGCAGGTAAAATCTGTGATGTACTGGCTGGACCCCAATCTCCGATATGCCACAAGAGAAGCGGATATCATGGTGTGTATTCTTAGCACTGTAGAGGAAGTTTGACCACCTTTGTCCCCTTAATAAAAACAAAGCCGCATCAGCAACTTCTTTGGGGGGAAAAAATAGAACATAATTTTGAATTTTCCCTAGATACAGGGAAGGATAACAGAAGTACCTCAGAATAAATAATATTTACAAGGATTGTTGATAGCAAAATGATCATAACGTGATCAGAGCACCTTGCCTAACTAAAGCATTTGAAGCTTTTTGAATAAGGTGCATATTTCATGAACATTTTCACCCAATGTGGTAGACTTTCTTGGGCAATTTTCTGTAGGGGGTGGGGTGCTGCAAAGAAAAGGTCATACTGCTCAACATGCTCAGTCAGCAGCCTCTTCAGAACCCTTATCAGCTGCAACTTCAGTGCTGTATTTTCTTTGGTATAATAGCTCACCCTTTAAGGAATACTGATATTCACCAAACCAATCAGATTTGGCTGTGGGATGACATCACTGGGGAGAAATAAAGCTAGATCAGAGTGAGGGCAATGCATTCAGGGTATTGGTACTCCGCATCACTGCTTAAGCAAATAATGCAAGACAGCATGCTAATTTGGTAACAGGATTTGGCATTTTGGAGGTTTGCAAAATCTGGATTTTCTGACACGGAATTTGGGTTTTCTTGACTTGTGCATATACCCAGCCCTTAAAGTAATTATCCTTCAAACATAAACATTTTTTTTTCAAATTATGAATAAATGTTCATGTGATGCACTGAGAACCAGTAGTATAGAATGCATTCAAAAAAACATTGCTATCGATAGAAAATAGGCAAGTCGATGACTGTTACCCAGCATTACGTGTGGTTAGCAAGAGAATGTGTGGAAGCAGAATATTCTCTGGTTTCAGAGTGGTTTGGAGTTTATTTCACCTGAAAATGTTTCCAAAATAGACTTGCTTGCTGATTTCACTTTGTCTCTTCCTTCTCCCCCTTCCCCAGGAGTATGCTGTGAACTGCCATGTTATCACTTGGGAGCGGATCCTGAGCCATTTGGATATATTTGCTTTTGGGCATTTCTGGGGCTGGGCAATGAAAGCATTGTTGATCCGTAGCTATGGGCTTTGTTGGACTATTAGCATCACCTGGGAGCTCACAGAGGTAGGTGGTTCACTGCAAGGAGATGGGAACATATGAGGCAGGTAATGTTCTTTGAGGCACCTGTCCAGCTCATGGTAGACTGGGCTGGGAGCTACACTCCTCTGAAGCCTTGCAAAATGTCTTTGTTCCAGGAAGATGTGTGTATCCTTGAGGTAGGATGTGTCTGATTCAGCCACTGATGTGGCTTTGTTGGCAGTTTGCCACCACTACAGGCCCAATAATTTACATAGTTAAATTAAATTACTTACCCCATTAATTTGATACATGCATTAAGTATTCTTTGAAATCTTTCTTGCTGCACAAAAACATTTAGTGCATGTGAGTCAGGTGGGGCGTGTATCTTCCGGACAGTATACCCAAACACATTACTGAATTACTGTAGCAGTCTTAAGAGAGGGCACCTTGATGAGGAAGCTGTCTGCAGAGTGTAACTGGCATAGGACGATGAGTCTCTATAAGTATGAAGGCCCTAGGCCAAGGAGGGCTTGAATGCTACTAGCTAGCACTTTGAATTGGGCCCAGAAGCAAACAGGTAGCCAGGACAGTTGTTATAGACTGGAGTTAGGTGTTCTGAGCAGGTGACCCCAGAAAGAGGCCTTGCTATTGCATTTTGTATACATTGGAGCTTCTGTGACTTCTTCAGAGGCCGCCCCATAAAGCGCAAGATCCATGTGAATAAGCATCCTTCTCTGTGCCATCTATTCTAAGGGATGACCGATTGGCAGCTTGTGAGCTGGTTCCAGCTGCCCAAACTATTTATATCCCTGGCCATAAGCAATCCCCATATATATAAGAACCTCTTCCATTTATGTAAGAGAATGGGACAACAGCATAAGTGGAGCCATTGTCTTTAGTTACAGCTGAAGTGAGCTGGGATAGCATAGTGTATTGAGAAAATGTGCTGTGATGAGTCAAGTCTCACCTCTTCCACAGATGCATTAGGTGGCCATACACCAACCACTCTGTCTCTTCCTCTTGCTCTTGGATTCAACCCCATCTGCAGCACTGAAAGAATACTGGCCTACTTTTATGGGGTGGCAGTTGTAAGGACTGCAACCATGATGATAACATATGTGAAGTGCTTTGAACATAGAAACTTTCTATATAAAATCTATATGTAGTCCATGCAGTCTAGCACCAAGTGAATTTCAAGTCCTTAACCTTCATGGATGCAGCCAAAAATTCAGTCACCAGGATGACAGCATTTTTATGTGTGATTATAAAGTACTGTTATATAAGTGAAATGCTTTTGCTCCTATAACATTTGTTACAGCTTGGATGTTAGTATTACCTGTGATCTACACTACTGAGCATCAGTCCCAAAGCTGGCTAGGCTAACCTTTATTTTCAAGAAGCTACAGTGTTGTAGCCTAGTACTTTGACCTAAGGCTGATCCTCAGTATTGGGCAAGATTTAAAGCACAAGCCAAACATTTTGACAAGGTGATATGAAATTTCTGCTGATGGATTGAAACAGTATGCATGTCACAGATTCTTGAGTCAAATCAACCTACAGGGCTATTTTTACTGCCATTTAAATTGATCGCATAACCCTGCAACCTTGGATCATAAGCTGCTTAATGTAGGAAACAGTTTAGTAAGTTCCCTCTGGAACATCCCATCCCATGTAGCTTACTGGTGCACACTATGTAGTTATCAGTTCCTTTCCTTGATGATCTCATGAGGAAATCTGCTGCCCCTTGTCTGTGACATGTTGCATCTTCTTTGGCATGCTCTCAACAGTTAAAATTGTGCTTGCTGCATAATGTGGTGGATTGGCAGCTCAATTGCTTTTGCTTTTTGTTCTATTAAAATATTATAAAGGCTGGACTGGGTGACAATGAATAGCCTTTTGTGCCTAAGAAAATACAGAAAACTCTCTGGATCTCAAACAGTTGCTTTCTTGAACACCATTTTCAGAGTCAGAATACTCCCAGCAACCCAATTCTAAGTCTTAACTGTGCCAGAGACTGCAAGTGTTTGATGCTCAGTAGCAAGATGGGGCCAAACTTGATGTTGCTCCAGTTCTGCAGAGACAGTTCAGCTGAGTCAGTGCAAAGGATCAGGATGTTAATTCTGCCTCTCTTTTTTTCTAATTGATCCCCCCCCAACTGAATAATCATTGCAGAGCAACATGCTTACAACTATAAGTCAAGCTTGTACTTAAAGTTACCCATCTGGCATTTTCATTTGCCTCTCCAGGAGTGAAAACCATAAGGTCATTTTTGCTTGGAAAGCTGTCTCTCGATCAGTGCACTAATGCCAGATGCTTCTTTTTGAATGCCTGTTAGATAGGGAAAGGTTAGAACAGGTTTTTACTCTTTGGATGACAAGAGAAGGTGCTATAAGGGTAACTCAGAACAGGTCTACTCAGAATCCTACTCAGATTTGTTCAGTGGGGCTTACTCCCAGGAAGGTGTTCTTAGAATTGCACTGAATATGTGTCGACGGTTCAGGAGGTGATGCTGTCATTATCACTGTGATTTCAATCTGTGTTGACTGAGTTTCTTCCCTATATAAAATTTGCTGGAGGTTCTAATCTGATAAAACCACCATTAATAATTGCTAGTGGCCAAGAACCCAAATGTAGAAGGGTAGACTTATATGGGGAGAGAAGTTCTTAAGACATTGCCAGTGAATCTGGCAAATTTTGCACTGCTGATTTCTAGGTTGAGTTAATTGAAGCACAGTAATTTAGAACAAGCCTTTAACAGTGCAAAGATACAAAATTATTAGTTGTAGCAAAACAATTCTGTTTAGTGAAAGGTGTTGGCGCATCATGCGGCAACCAATTTAGCACTGAATGATAATGTTCCTGGAAATATGCAACTGTGATGTGAGAAAACAAGCAGTTATCATTTTCATGCTGAGAAGTGCAAGCTGATCCAGAGCTCTCTGAAATCCTGAGCTGATAGACTTTTGTCAAATTCAGCTGAATTCTGAAAAGTATTTTCTGTATTTTCAGCATCTGTGGTTGTGTAAAATCATGTTCTTAGGTTTAAAGAGGGAAAAAAACCTTTTTACCTGTATGGATTTCTCACCCCAAATCTCTTTGCTGTATTCTGTAGCTGTTCTTCATGCATCTGCTGCCTAATTTTGCTGAATGCTGGTGGGATCAAGTCATTTTGGACATCCTGCTATGTAACGGGGGTGGCATCTGGTTGGGCATGGTAGTTTGTCGTTTCTTGGAGATGAGGACCTATCACTGGGCCAGCTTCAAGTAGGTCTCAAGTACAAGCCAATAAGCATTATGTTAATAATACTGCTGTGTAAAAACTCTGAAACTGTGTGTAAATTGCAGAGGTTGTTCAATTACAGACCATTAAAAAGCTTTACAGTGCAATCCTGAGCAGAGTTATATCCTTCTAAGCTTATCAACTTCTGTGTACTTAGAAACATGTAACCCTGTTTAGGATTGTACTGTGAAGCTTGAGTGTGCAATGCCAAATTATGATTTGAAGTTGTAGCTGAAATGTCTCATTGTCAATTAAAAAAAAAACCAGAAGGAGCTATTGGGTAGTAAAGTACAGAACACTATATTTACACTTTCCCCAGTTCCCTACTTGCCTCCCTTTTATAAGAACATTTTTTTCTGAAATAATTTTTATTATCTTCTGTATTTCCAGTCTGAGGTGTATAGCCTGCTCTTCACCCTCCCTCTCTTTCTGTTTTTATGGCCATGACATTAAGCCAGGACAGATAATAACAAAATTTAAGTAAAAACACAAAAGTGTAAAATTATAAGCATATAATAATCCTTCCAAATGGACATCACAAACATAACACCATATTGACGCATAAAATTCAGGCCGCTGTCCATCCTACGTGAATCAAAATAGATTTGATGCAATTTTGCTAATCCTCAAAGGGACAAAAAGAGGTTGCTTTCTGTAGGATCTCTTTGTTATCATTTGCAAACAAGTACTCATTTTTAAAAGAATAAACTAGAATGATATCCATGCCCCTTTATCAGCAGTGGGGAAATTTGTCTGCAGTAGGGCAACTTAACAAGCCTTCAAGAGTACTGTCAGTTTGCTGTTTCACTGCAGATATGATGGTGTGTGCTAAAAAAATATTTCTCCAAAGCACCATGGAACTATGACATATGGTCCTTTGGGTTCTGGCATATATCTTGTATTTTATATTGAGTGAAATAGGTTGTTTCTACTGTAACTGTAGGACGGAATGCAAATTCCTATAAGGAAACCATACATGCTGTCACTGGCTTTCATGAGCTTGTAGTGGTTTCCAGTTCACTTAACTGTTAAAGGCTGCGATCACACATACTAAAGAATCCACTTTCAATGCACATTCCAGCTGGATTTTGTCAGTTCACACAGTAAAATCCAGTTGGAAAGTGGATTGAAAGTGGATTATTTAGTGTGTGTGATTGCAGCCAAAGTTAACTTGAAAATGACAGAAAGTGGCTGTGACCTGCAGAACATCACTCTGCTCCAGTATTTTTCTTCAGGAACAATTTTTAACAGTAAAATGTGTTGCTGATTGAGAGTGACTCTTTGAGTAGCACAGGAGACTGTTCTGAAGTATTTTGCAGTTTTCTGCTTTGCTGTCATAGAAGAGTGAAGCATGCATGTGCAAAAGCAGGCTCCTCTTAACAGCAAGCTGCTGCTTCCATAACTAGAATGGGTTCTAAAGTTTGCTTTCAATGCCCCCTTTCTCGGCAATGTGTGCGTAGCCTTGTGTTGTGTGTAGCGGTATTTTAGAGCCATGTTCTGTCATAAAGAACCAGAGAAACACAGTTTTGATTTCCTTTTTTTACTGTTGCTTGCTTGCAGGGATATCCACACAACCACAGGTAAAATCAAAAGAGCCGTATTACAATTCACTCCGGCAAGCTGGACCTATGTTCGCTGGTTTGATCCCAAGTCTTCGTTTCAAAGAGTGGCTGGAGTATATCTTTTCATGATTATCTGGCAGGTAAAAAAAAATAACGACCCAAAACCACTGTGACATCAAAACCAGGGATTTCTCACTAGACTTCTTGGCTCTATTTGGTCAGAGGAAATTGTTTGTTGTATTCATATATAAAAGAAAACCATATGCTAGAGCTGGGGCCCCAACAATGGGCCTGTGGGTGCCATCGTGCCCACCAACACCTTTCCTGTGTTTTTAGAGAGGAGGAGGAGCCAGGTGGGGCTTTGCCCAGTGGGGCTTCTGATGGGCCATTAGGAGATCTGATAGGCTGTGAAGACTTTTAAAAAGTTGCGGCAGCAAGTGCAACCACATCTTCACTGTGTTACTGTGTATGCAAGAAAATATTTTTAAGCAGTGTGTTCGTTTTGAAAGGAATCCTGTTAAACAGAGCTTCTGCCTGAAATGTAGAAGAGTTAGAATTAGAGTTATGCGTTTCCTCAGTCCCTGCTATTTTCTAGTTGTCTATGCATCCTGTGACAAGCATTTTGGCTCCACCATTTCCTGTGTCACCCTGTGTCAGAATTCCAAAGGTGCCTGCAGGCTCAAAAAGAGAGTGCCAATTTATGTTGTTTGAACTCCATTTGAATTATAGTTACAAGGTAATCATCCTCTCCATAGGATCATCTTAGTTTGTGTGCTTGATAGCCCCCACCACCACATAAATGACTGTCCCGCCGTAGGCACGGCCCCGCCGCAGGCTCCTCCGCGGCCTCACAGTCCGCTGCAGCGGGACTGGCGCAACCCGCGCCGGGCTCTCCACAAGTCCGAAGCAACGAAGACAACGGAGACAGATCTACAGAAGACCCCGGAGATGTCAGGCCCCTCCCCCAGCGACCGCGGAGAACACGAGGGTGGGGGAAAGGAAAGGACGCCAAGGCAGCTGACATCGGGGCCCTCGTGCGCGCAGGAAGCGGGCACTCCCCTATGCGCACAAGCATTAGGCAGGCCATCCAGGGAGGCGGGACCTATAGAGAAACTGACCAGAGACCTGAGGAACTTGGTGATGGGCACGAAGCTGAAGCAATAGGATTAGGAAACACAGAAAGGGGTGTGTCACTACCAGGGGAAAGAGCGATATAAGGAGAGACGCGGAGCAGTACCGGAGAGGAATGTCGGAGTCAGCTAATGTGCCAATCGAGAGAGAAGGGAACGTGGCTGTACAGCCGAGAAAGGTGGCTGGGGCAGTGATGTAACTTCCCACCCCTTTTATTTCTGAGGTACTCGTGTCCCTCTTTCATCCTTCGTCACGGCGAGCGGGGTCACGTGGCCTGGGGAGCTCCCAGAGTCCGACAACGACATCTGTGGCTTCACGTGTAGATGGCAGTTGTATGAACCTTGACCTCTACTTGCAGCATATAAGCATAGTTGCAGCTTAGTTATGTGGGCTCAAAAGAGGGCCACCATGACTGCCGGTCTCAAGAAGCCACCTTTCCAGTTCTCTTACGGGAGGTTTGGTTCTGCTGGGTCTCAAGCCCAGCATGGTGTAGTGATTAAGAGCAGTGGACTCTGGAGAACCGAGGTTGATTCTTCACTTTTCCACATAAAGCCTGCTCTGTGACCTTGGGCCAGTCACAGTCCTCTCAGAACTCTCTCAGCCCCACCTACCTCACAAGGTGCCTGTTGTGGGGAGAGGAAGGGAAGGCGATTGTAAGCTGCTTTTGACTCCTTATGGTAGAGAAAAGCAGGGTATAAAACCAGCTCTTCTTCTTGCCGGCAGCCGTGCGTGTGATCATTGGGGGCTGGCAACAATCTGAATCAGGCAAAACAAATCGGAGAAAGGAAATATATCCTGGCCATCGTTACTGTCTTGAAAACATCCTGATTTGCTTACACATGGTGGTTTTAAATGAGAATCCATCCTTTCATGGGACTCCTTGGGAGACAAAAGTCCAACAGTCACTGTGCTGTTGTTTTATTTTGTGAATTTAAGTCTCTTAGTAGAAAACAAGGCATGCTTAAATTCAGTTAATGTTCGTGGGTTTCTGATATGTTTGTGGATTCTAGATATGTCTATGTTCATGATGATTGTACCCAAAGTGATTACATGTGTCTTTTTAAAAAATAAATAAAATGTAATGGAATTAAAACTCTGAGCATGTGGCATTTGCTGATCAAATAAGCTAAAGCAGCTGTTGGGTCTTCCATATCTGATACAAATTTGTGGATTTCTTTTCTTTCTTTTTTTTAAATGGTGATTCTGATCATAGCATAGATATTGATGAGCATCAGGGTGTTGAGCTAAATTGATAGAAAGTAGGGTTTGGATCTGAAATATGGTTTCAGGTGCCTAGTCTCATCATGGACAGTTTGTGTGACTTAGGGCAAGAGATAACACCACACAACCCCAGTTCTTGAAAATAGGTCTACTTCACTAGCTGAAAATTACATACTAGTTTGTTGTGTAAATTGTGCTTAGTAGTAGTCCATTCTGAAAATATCCTATTTAAGACCTTTGCCTTCAACATCTTCAGATGTCTCGTTTCTCACTTGGGCCTACTTACTAAATAACTGAGGATCTGAATTTGCAGAAATGATAGAAGGCAAAATTATCAATAATTTTATGTGCTAAAAGAAATTTCTTCATTACATAGGATTTAAAAACCTTCACAGCTCAGTGATTTTAGTTACGAATGTCATAGGTGGGTATGTGATGGGGAAGGGGGAGGTAATAAAGTAAGCTGAAAAGACAGCCCAGACATTTGGGACCACCATTTCTTCCATAGTGGTAAATAAATTACTGAAGAATTTGATGCTTTTAAAATAGTGCCTCCCAAATGAACCGCCTCAGCATTGGCCATCTCACTGCCTAGATTGGTGCTTCAAAATTGGGACCTTTTAAAACTCATTGGTTTTAAATGAGTTTTGTTGGCAAATACAAAATCAGTTACTTCCTGTCTGTAGAATTTATAAGGAAAATACTGGAAGGAAGAATGAGTCCGCCCAGGATATAAAATTTTGTTGCCTGACTCTTTCTTCCTTCTCCTCCTTAGCTGACTGAATTGAACACGTTTTTCTTGAAACACATCTTTGTTTTCCAAGCAAGCCACCCTTTAAGCTGGGGTAGAATCCTCTTCATTGGAATTATCACAGCACCCACTGTGAGGTAGTATTTTGCTTCTTTTTTCCTCTCACTTGAAAAAGTGCATGGAAACCTTTGGGATATAAACCAGATTTTGCAGAAATTGTTTTGTTTTTTTAATTAAAACAGTAATCATTAACAGAAAATGCAGATTTGAGGAGGCAAGGTAGACATAGTCGTAACCTTAGATCACCTAACGAAAATCCCACAAAGCAGTATGTTTTATTGGCAGGATACCTGCCTTTTGTGCCTCAAATCCCCAGAGTGTCTACCTTCCCATCCTTACAGTGCAATTATAAACCGAATGAGAAGGGTGTAAGTCCATTGGCATCAGTAGGCTTAGAAATATGTAACTCTGTTTAGAAGTTTGTTTGTTGTGTATCTACATGCCTTTGCTGCATAGTCAACCACCTTTCAGTTTAGGCATACGTAGTGTTGCAGACATCTTTACTTTGTAACTAAGATTACACACAGATATGTTTTTTTAGTTGTTTCAGCAGAGGAGGAGGGGAGACAAGGACTATCTCTTCTGTTTTTAATACTCAGTTTGATTGCTTGTCTTGTTTTGCTGACAACCATCCCAGAAGCATTCAAACTCTGATAAATAAGGTTGCAGTGTTTTGTTGATTGATTGGTTAAATTATTTTTTTTGATTGACTAGAAAATTGCCGCTTTAATCAAGCGACAGATATTTGGAATTATTTTTAATGCAAGTCCCAGAAGAGGCATTCCTTTCTACATGTAGTAGGATACTGCCTCTTATAAATTGATGCCAGTTGTGATATGTGACCTTTTTCCTTTCTATTTTTCCTCATGCAGATTTATGCAGATTTAATCCAGTTAATTGACCCACAGTGCCATTCTAAGGAGAGTTATACTCTTCTGAATTTGTGAAGGCTTAGAAGGATGTAACTGCTTTGAATCGTACTGTAGAATGGCATACGGTTAATTGACTGTTTCCCTAATCAAGTGACAGGCTTAGTTTTAATTAATTGTGCTTCTTTCTTATAAAATGGGTAAAAACCAGATGTTTTACTGGCTGTATCCTAAATGTGTAATTTCTCTTTTCACTGAGGAGTGTTTCTGTTTCTCATTCCAGACAATACTATGCCTACCTCACAGACACACAGTGCAAGAGGGTAGGAACTCAGTGCTGGGTATTTGGGTAAGTTTTTGTTGTCGCTAAAAAAGTAGATGTTTTGAACTTGTTGTCGCTAAAAAAGTAGACTTTTTGAACTTTTTGCGGCCTGCCTCAGTAAAAACAGAACCTCTACTCCCAGAAATTTGCAGGTAGTCTCCTATCCATGCAGCAACCGTGGAAGCTTTCTTCATCTTGTGACTTCAGCTCATGTCCTAGGAACAAGACAGGGCTGAAAAGTTCCCTCTCTGTCAAATGGTTGCTGGTGATTAACCTCTGGTTCTTAGTACACCTTGTAGTGGTTTAGGACACCCATACTTTTGAAACTGCTGGATATTTTTTGGGATATCAGCTGATCTTTATAAAATTCCCAGAAATTTTTCCTGTTTTATTTCTCTGCCAAAAACAGGAAGACAGAAATAAACCAGAGTATAACACAGATTAGTCAGCCTTCCTGCCACTTCCTCATTTGTCCAAGTAAGGAAAGACTTGAGGTAGAGGAGAAAAAGGCCCATCCTGACTGCAACTGATTGGGAGTTAAGTCACCCTCCTCCTTCCATTTTTCTCTCCCAGTCTTTCTCTATGGTAAAAAAGGAGAATGGGCAGAGGAGAAACAGGAAACAATCCCCACCCACCCTCCATAACGTGGTATGGCTCTTATTCGTTTGTTCTAAGCCTAGCCATATATGGGGCTTAGAGTACAGACAGAATTGGGAAACTGTAAATAAGACCAATAGTTTACAAGTCTTGTGCATGTCACATAACTCTGTACACAGCAAAATCTCCTGTGGTACTTTAGTTTGAATAAAATATGAATTGTCCCTTTCAATGTTGTGAATAATTAGGTCCAAATTTGGGGGTGAGACTCTCCCTAAATTGGCTTCAGCCACTGAATGAACTCTGGTTCCTCCATGTAATTCACTAAGAGAGAAAGATTAGACCATTCCCTTTGGCATCATTTTACGGCTCCAGCAGTGAAGGGGCCTACAGGCATCTAAAATGATACCCAGATTTCTGCAAAATATCAAACCCATCCTTGGAGTATTAGGAGACTGACCAGCCATTCCATCAAATGTTCTTGTCTCAGTGGTTCAAACTACAGCAGGTGTTAAAGGAAGGATTTTCTTGCCTGTACCTATTAATGGCATAGCTTACCCTGGTATGCATGGCTTTCTCCTTATAGCACTCTGTAACATGTATTCTTGGGTTGGGGCAGGGAAAGGATATTGCATAAAGGGATCTTGTCTAAGGTGAATTAGATGACCTCCTAGTTTCTTGCAGGCTTCATGAGTATTTTTCCCCTACTCTGCCAACTAGCTTAGCAGAGGAAAGGAAGCAAATCTGTGTACAATATCCATGCCTTTCAAAAGAAAACTTCCAGATCACAAAGTGACAGAAATAGCAATATTTACATCAGCAGAGTCTGTCCTTGTAGAGAAGGTCAACCTGGAGCTAACAAGCACTGAGGGACTGCTTTACTCCTGCTTTTGGCCTTTGGCAAAAATAAACAAACCAGTTGAATCACTTTACTTGGCTGTAGTTAGGAACATTTTCGCTGTCATCGTTTCCTCAGTGCCTGATCCATCTTCAAAGGCTCATCTTAATGGTTGTTTACAATTGTTCCTTTTCAGGCCAGGGGGGGAAAGGGCACTTGCAAAAGAGCACCTCCTTTTCTGAGAGATGCTTGGTGATCTCTCCTACATTCATGAAAACTGTGCAAAAATGAGTAATTATGGGAGAACACACCAGAATTCAACACAAAACTGCCAGTGTTTTTGCAAGTGTGCGCCATCAAACAGTCAAAAATGTTTGATATGCATTTTTGCAAGGGAATGGTTGTAAAATGTGTGTGTGTATGCCATCCATACACAGATGCCTACCCTCCAGTTGATCCCTTCTCCCTTCTAAACCACAAATCTTAACTTTTCAAGGGGATGGAATAATAGCTGGACATAGAGACTAGGTCTAAACATATGGTAGGAGTTCTAAACATATGGTAGGTCACCAAGAAAACCACAATTCCCATAAATCCTGGCAGGATGTCACACTGTCCACTCAGAGCCTAGTAGCCTAGATCCATTACTCCCTTGGAAAAGTAAGATTCGTGGCTTCAGGGAGGGATAATAGTCTGCTGAGTAAAGAGTGGGCATTTGGGGGTGCCAGTTTGAACCTGGGTCCAGTTTGAAGCAGCATATATCCAAAACGAAAATGTTGCAAACTTTTTGAGCAGCCAGTTTGCTTTTCACTTTCCTCTGCTCCAGAGTTAATCCACATCACCAGAAATGAAGATAATCAGGGGCAAGTCCCGGACATTGTGGTGCCTCCAGCAATAAATTCCACTGGTGCTTACCACCAATTACCTTGGGCACAGTCTACCAGGAAATGACCTTCCATGACGCTCAATGAAATTACAGGGATTTGTGGAAGGATTTTGGATGTGTTCGGCTTATGTTTCCGGTTTGCATTTTTGGCATAATTAGAGCCACAGTTTTGCCTGGCCTGATGAAAGATAACCAGACAAAATACGAAAACACAAGACTTTAAATAGAGGCGTATCACCTTCCACAGTCCCAGTTAGTGGGGCTGTCTGGCCTAACACATCTCATTCCATCTCTTCTGATAGCTTAATAAGCCAAATGTGGAAGCACCAATAAACATAGAACCCTGGCCTAAGATCCCTTTGTCGTAACATATCCTTTTTCTCTTTCCTTTTTTACATAGCATACCAAAGTGCTTTGGGGTGGGGCCTGGTGCCAGCTAGAACTATGGGCTAGAACTAGTCCTTCCGAATATTTGAGTTGCCTGCCTTTTGCTTCCAAGACAGCCTTGGAGCTTTTGTCAAATTGCCTTCTAACCAAGAGTCTCGCCTGTCAGAGGTGATCCCATTGGAGGAAGGGCTCAGTCCCAGAAAGGGCCAACACATGGTGATGATGTTCGCAGGCTGCTGTGCCACTGCTTGGGTGCTCGTGGCAGCTCATGTGGTCACCCGTGCTTATTGGCAACTTTGGAAGTGGCAGCGCCTGCCCACGCCAGTAACCTGGGGCCAGTCATCCAGGCCTTCGTTACTTTTCACTTGGCTGTGTCAGCATATGTGGCCCTTGACACATTCATAGATGCGAAAAAGGACCAGGCCCTCTTGGAGCTTCCTGTCTAACTGTTACTGTTGGCAACATGAGGAGGGAGAGGCAAAGCAAGGTGCAGAGGGGAAGAATAGGAGAGAGGTTTTGAGCAAGATCTGCTGTTGATCCTAAACAGTGGCTTTTGACTCTTCCACAATAGTAAAGTCACCAATGTGTAAATGCACAAGCAGGGCTTGGTAGAAGTAATCAGGGACCTTGCTCCTGTAGCTCTTAAGGACGGAGATGTTCATTCAGATATAAACAGATTAAAAACATTTCCCATTAATATTATTGTTTATAAACAAATTAAACTATTAATGACATTCATTCATATTACTATCTGTTCCTTATTCTGACATCTCGCTGTCTGGTTTAGAATGTACGGAAATCAGAGGGAGGGGGACAGGAGAGGAGTTGACTGGAGAGGAAGGCTGTCTGGGCTGGCGCTGCTGCTGTGGGCCAGACCAGGTGGGGTGGGGAGGGCGGGTTGATGTAGGCCAAAAATCTCCTCTGTCAGCATCTTGGATGCTCTTTCTGACAAGGCCGTGTTCCTTGGTGCACCCTGGGAAATGTGGTCTCCGGATATCTGATGTTATCATCACTTGTCTGTCTGTTAGAAAAAAGCACCGAGGACCCAAGTAGAGGAGAGAAATTCTTCATCTGCATAAGGTCCCCCACCAGACCGAGCTAAAGCAGCAGCAGCCTGAAGACTAAGTGAAGGCAGGGGGCAATAACTAAAAATGAATAAATAACAAAACCCCACCCCCTTCTCATTAACAAATACATGTGAAATACAAAATGAGAAAGAAATTGTTTATGCCCCTACTTGCAGATTCTTCAGTTGTATGATGTTCTCCATATATGAAGAAAGGAACTGGATTTTTTTTAATGCCATATCGGTTCAAATTGTCTTCTGGTTTAAAGAGCCCCTCATACAAATAACTGTGACCCAGAGACTATGAATATGACATGTGTGTGTGGGTCAGAGAGAGAAAAACAGGCCTTCATCTGCCTGAAAGCTGCTTAGTGTCTCACGAGAAGGATTAGGCTTCCTTTCTTTAAACATAATCTCAGATCATAAGTTAAATGAATTTAGACATCCAGTAAAATCCCTCTCCTTGTAAAACAGACTTCAAGCAAAAAGGAGAGGCTCCAAGGGAACTAACAGCCCAGTCTGTGTGTCCTCTGCCTCGCTATAATAATAACTAATAATTATTGTATGGTAGTGGGTATAGCTAGGAGATCCTAAGATTGTCTGGCAGCCTGAACCTCCAGTTCTTTTTTTGTGGCAAACTAGGTTTATTTTTTTTGGGGGGGGGGGGTGTTAAGAGAGGTGTGGGGGTGTTAAGAGAGCTGTGACTGACCCAAGGTTACCCAGCTGGCTTCAAGTGGAGGAGTGGGGAACTGAACCCCACTATAAAGCAGACATTCTACATCCTGCAGTACAAACTCTGCACAGTGGAAGACTAGGTTTGAATGCTGTATTGATGTCAGTTAAGCTTTTTTTGCATAATTTGCCTTATTTTCGCCGATTTCTGTCTTTGTTGTGCCAGTCTTGGGGCGGGCAAGAAGCTGTGCAGGGTCCCTACCCCCCCTCCTCTTTTCCTATTCACTGGAACTGTGTTCAGCCCCCTTTCGCATTTGAGATTTGAGCAGTTTTGCCCACACATGTTCAAGCATACCTTCAACATAGTACGGGCCAGAAACTTACTCTTTTTGAAAAAGTATGAGATTCTCAGAAAACCTGCTTTCAGCACTCCATGGATTTTTGCCAGCCTCATCATGCATCCATAGCCTTGATAATAGCTGTATGTCTCCTTTCTGCTTGGTTAAAGGTTATCATGCAGGGTTTCCCCCCCACACACAATTAAGGCATTCAAGGGGAAAAAATCAACACATCTCTGTTGAAGAGTTACTCCATGCCCCTTGAATTGAGGAAGATTATTTTTTTAATATTTGTACCATGCCCCTTGAATTGAGGAAGATTATTTTAATATTTGTATACCTTACCTTGACCTGGATGGCCCAGGTTTAGCCCAGTCTTGTCTGGTCTTGGAAGCGAAGTAGGGTTGGTCCTGGTTAGTCCTTGGACGGGAGACCAGCAAGGAAGTCCAGGATCTGTATGCAGAGGCAGGCAATGGCAAATGTCCTCTGTTCATCTCTTGCCTTGAAATCCTAAGGAGTCATCATAGGTTGGCTGTGAGTTGATGGTGCTTTCCACTGCCTCTGAGCTCTTCCCTTCCCCTTCAGCATGAGGCAGCTGAAAATGCCAAACCCACCAAGCCGGTTTGAACGAATGGAGTTGCTTCTTACAGAGTCACGTCACAGGTCCATCTGACTTGATACTGTTCACTGTGACTCTACTCGAGCAATGTTTCTTCTGCTCTTTCCTCCAGGGTAATCGGTTTCCTTGAAGCGATTGTCTGCATCAAGTTTGGTCAAGATCTCTTCTCTAAAACACAAATATTATATGTCATATTTTGGCTCATCTGTGTGGTAAGCGGCACTTTGCTTTGTACGTGGTGATGTTCTTAATCTCAGCTGCAAAAACGAGCCAAATGTTGCTGGGTCTACTTCCATTGAGTTGCAAGTGTCTTTCTGGTGTTTGTTGCTCTGTGCGTCCCCACTGAAACAAACAGGATGGGGGGAAACACCAGAATAATCAGGACCTTTTCAGTAGTGGCACCAGGATTGTGGAACTTCCTTCCCCAGGAGGCTTGCCTGACACCAAATTAGCTCCTGTGCACCGTCTTTCACTGCAGGGCAAACAGGAATGTCTGTTTGATTGCACCTCAAAATGGGCACAGGTTCAGAAGCTTGGCCTGTTTAAATGTTGCAGTACTGTTGGAGATCAGAATATAACATAAGAACATAAGTGATGCCAATGTTGGATCAGGCCAAAGGTCCATCCAGTCCAACACTCTGTCACACAGTGGCCAAAAATACCAGGTGCCATCAGGAGGTCCACCAGTGGGGCCAGGACATTAGAAGCCCTCCCACTGTTGCCCCCCCCAAGCCCAAGAAGACAGAGCATCACTTGCCCCAGAGCCCCTATCTATACCTTGTGGCTAATAGCCACTGATGGACCTCTGCTCCATATGCCTATCTAATTCCCTTTTGAAGCCGTCCATGCTTGTAGCCGCCACCACTTCCTGTGGCAGTGAATTCCAAGTGTTAATCACTCTTTGGGTGAAGAAGTACTTCCTATTATCCGTTCTAACCCGACCGCTCAGCAATTTCATGGAGTGCCCACGAGTTCTTGTATTGTGAGAAAGGGAGAAAAGTACCTCTTTCTCTACCTGTTCTTTCCCATGCATAATCTTGTAAACCTCAATCATGTCACCCCTCAGTCATCTTTTCTCCAAGCTAAAGAGCCCTAAGCGCTTTAACCTTTCCTCATAGGGAAAGTGTTCCGAGTGTTCCAATCAGAGGGACTGGGAGCAAGTTTCTTGCCAAGCAGAAGAACAGCCGTTATTTCTGCCAGTAAGGGCAGTTAGCCTAGGCTAGTTCATAGCGTGCAGAGTGACTTTTTTATGTGAAGCAGCATTGTAAGATGGCTTTCTCCATCATTGTTCAAATGCGCATGGGGCAGTTTGTAAGAAGCCAACATGTCCTGGGGGCGTGGCTTATAATAACACTGCCGCTTTTGAGCATGATAGACTCTAGTTGAAGGCTGATAAACGTCTGCCTGTCCTTTGGTGGACTGAGGCCAGCTGGAGCTCCATGGGCAGCGTGCCATCCCACCCTGAGTCAGCTCTAAGCTCGGCTCACACACATCTAGTTGGGTTCAAAATGTATTATCAAGAACTCCAAAGAATTTCAGTAGCTCACTAGCAAACTGTATGTGAGCAAAGGCCCATAGATAAGCACGGAAGGGCTCTCTGACACCCTGGCACTATTTATCTAAATGATTAGGGCCTCTTCTACATTTGCAAGAAAGATCAGGAACTTCCATCAGATTTCTGTGAGTTCTTGGGGGGAATCCACATCAGTTAAAATGATATAAAACCGCCATACATTCCCTGTGGAAATAAGGCCCCTTGTCTTATGTTAGTAAAAGGACTGGATTATTTTCTTGCGGTTGCATTATGGTAATTAAAATTTAGCCTGCAAGTTTTCTAAAAAGCGCATTCAATTTTTGTCTGTCTGGTTCCCCAACCCTTCTCTCCTTTTTCTTATTTCAATGTTACAGGCTATTACAACCTTCCTGTGTTTATATGGAATGGTTTGGTATGCAGACCGCTATGGACAGCGAGAAAAGGTATGCTTAATGGGAAACCCAGCCCTTGATAGAAAGCAACTTTTAGGGTTGCAGATAACTTACAATTTACCCAGAAAAATTATAAGGATTGTTGCCTAAGTCTATGGAGGTCAAGCTAGATTTGCTCATAGTGGCATCATTTCAGATTCCCGCAGCAGGAAGGGTGTTGAATGAGTGAGTTGGTCAGAAATGTGGGTGCTCTTGCTATTATTCACCTGGAAACCACCAGAGGAGGGCAGTGTCCTCCCCTGGACCTTCCTAAATAGTGCCCGGTTGCATATTCAGGCTAAATCCTGCCCTTTTCCTGTATGCAAGAATATGGATACTATGGCTGCAATCCTGAGAAGGCTTCCCTGGGAGTAAGTGCCACTGACTAAAATGGGACTTACTTTTGAATAGACCCTATTAGGCTTGCTTCTTGGGGCACCAAAAAGCACGGAGACACCCCTTTCCATCACGTGGTGATTGTGGGCTCAGACATAATGCATATGGACAAAAAGTGGTTGACATGTGAACTTCCACCCTTTTCACGGGAAGGTTTCTGTGACTTTAGCAGAATGATCAGTTAGACCCAAATCCTGCTATATTACAGTGGCAACAACTATTATTAATTTCAGTTCTGTTAAGTATAGCTGGGAGACCATTAACATCACCAAACTATTATTAATTTCAGTTCTGTTAAGTACAGCTGGGAAACCATTAACATCACCATACCTGATTGGACATACATTGTCAAGTTCCAGCTCCTGCCAACCTAGCAGTTCGAAAGCAAGACATTGCAAGTAGATAAACAGGTACCACTTCGGTGGGAAGGTAACAGCGTTCCGTGCGCCTTGGTGTTTAGTCATGCCGGCCACATGACCATGGAAACGTCTTCGGACAGCGCTGGCTCTTCGGCTTTGAAACGGAGATGAGCACCGCAACCCTAGAGTCGGATTCGACTGGCTTTCGAGCAAGGGAACCTTTAACCTTTACCTGATTGGAAGGGCATGTGGGTATCCCAAACATGAGACAAAGGTTTGGGCTGCACAGTGGAGTGCAGGGACTGAGTCAGCATTGCTGTCTCTCTGGTTCCTTGTCCTCTCAGCTACTGACCCTACATGGGGGCTGCACGGCTTTTAGTATTCACTCAATGCTCTCGGCAGTTCCAAACGGGCATGTCTAGTAGGGTTTGGATACAAGACATACTGATTGCAAAGTCAGACCTCACTGATGGCCATCTTTGTCTTCACAGACTTTGTCGGAAAGCGAAGACAGCTCATACATCCCAGATGCTTCCTGGCTAAACTCTAAGTTCACTAGAGGTACTGGCGCCTCATATGATGCATTCTGTCCCTTTTTGTCAGTAACACTCATACACCAGTTTGGTGTAGTGGTTAAGTGCACGGACTCTAATCTGGGAGAACTGGGTTTGATTCCCCACTCCTCCACTTGCAGCTGCTGGACGACCTTGGGCAAGCCATCGTTCTGTCAGGGCTGTCCTTAAAAGAGCTGTTCTTGAAAGATCTCTCTCAGCCCCACCTACCTCACAGGGTGTCTGTTGTGTGGGGAGGGGAAGGGAAAGCAGTTTGTAAGCCACTCTGAGACTCCGAGTGAAGGGCGGGGTATAAATCCAATCTCTTCTCTTTTCTTGTTCATTTCTGAAGAATCCTTTCTGTAGCATTAAATACAGGCAGGCTACTGGCTGTGGTGACTGTGGAATGGGAGTTTTTCCCCCTTGGGTTGTTTCTTCTTCAGCAGTGCTCTCAGCTGAATTGTTCCTATCTTTCATCCCAGTTGTCATGCTAGACCTTAACACACAACAAGTGTGGGTCTGTTTGGAGGCCTCTGAGTCACTGTGGCAGTCCTGTGCCACACGTGCTACATTGTCAAGTATGGCAGATGTTGTCGATACTGCTAGCAGGATGGTGCTTAGTGGCCCCTTGAGCAGTTTTCCCTTGGGCGTGCTTGTTAGTGTGATTGGATGTCCTTATGCATATAATGTGGCAGCCTCTTCCTCCTCCAGGTGCCCTTCGTCAGAGTCCCCAACCTTGTGGAACCTGTGGGCACCTTTGGAATTTTGAAAAAAGGTAGTTGCCGCCACAGCAAAATAGCTGCTTTGGGAGAGGCAAGAGCGGTCCAAAATGGCTGCCATGGGCACTAGTCCCAATCATATAATGTTGGGAGGTTCTACAGAACATTAAGAACAGAAGAGAAGCCAATGCTGGATCAGGCCAGTGGCCCATCCAGTCCAACACTCTGAGTCACACAGTGGCCAAAACCCATCAGGAGGTCCACCAGCAGGGCCGGAACTCCAGAAGCCCTTCCACTGTTGCCCACCCAAGCACCAAGAATACAGAGCATCACTGCCCCAGTCATACTGTTCCATCTATACCTTGTGGCTAATAGCCACTGATGGATCTCTGCTCCATAATGTTTATCCAATCCCCTCTTGAAGCTGTTTGTGCTTGTAGCCACCACCATTTCTTGCAGCATTAAGAAGTTTCAAGCCAAGCATCATCCTATGATTGGGGGGGCAGCTTTTTTTGAATGGGTTCTCCCACAGATCCAAAGGTGATCTCTCCTGGGTTCTTCTAGAGCACCCCCTGGTCCAGTGAAGGAAAGTCAGTACTGGCTCTCTGCTTTGGGGGTGAATTGCTTTCAGGAAGAAGTCAGCGGGAATCAATGGGCAGGTGCTGTGGTATCCATGGACACAACACTGGGGAGCATTGCCCTAGAAAACGTGTCTGGTTTGTCTAAAACCTGTTCCCTGTCCATGGACACCACACTGGGGAGGATTGCCCTAGAAAACTTGTCTGGTTTGTCTAAAACCTGTTCCCTGTCAGTCTGAAGAATTCTGTTACTACCTACCTCTTCTCCTCCTCCAGTTTGGAGTAGTGGTTAAGAGCAGCAGACTCTAATCTGGAGAACCGGGTTTGATTCCCCACTCCTCCACATGCCGCCAGCTGGGTTACCTTTGGTCAGTCACAGTTCTCTCAGAGCTGTTCTCTCAAGAACAGTTCTCTCAGAGCTCTCAGCCCTATCTACCTCACAGGGTGTCTGTTGTGGGGAAAGAAAGGGAAGGTGATGGTAAGCCTCTCTGAGACTCCAAGTGAAGGACATGGTATAAATCCAACTCTTCTTCTTCTTCTCCTTCCAGTCTAACTTCTGATTTTCATAAGTGCCAATTCCTAACTCTCGTTAGAACTTTAATCCTATTGGCTCATGCAGCTATGAATGCACTGTAGCTAAGGGAAGTTTAACTCTCTCCTTCTGCATGTCTTTTTTTCCTAATTCTTCAGACTCTCCTGCACATGTGCCCAGTTACCATATTTTTCAGTTTGGGAGACTTTTAGTGAAATCCAGAACTTTATTCCATCTATCAAGGCTTTCTTGCCGAGACCTTCCTTATAGAGACCCACTGCAGTTTCTCCTTGCTTGCATTTGAGTATCCCAGTACATCTGCACACTAACTGCCCCTCTTTGTTAATGAAAGGAATAATTTATGTTCCAGAAAACTAATAATTACTACATTGCAGTTAACAAGTTGCCATAAGGGGGGGGGGGAATGATGGTAGTTGAACCACTAGGTGGCATACTGGTTTCAAGCAAATTGCATCAAAATGTATTAGCAGACCCAAGCTGTTGTATTTTTAAAATGCAAAAGATCCTTTTTAAAAACGAATTCCATGTCCACTTGCTAGGAATGGAAGACAGTCCACCTAAGCACTCTGGCAACAGTGAGGGCCATTCGTCTAGGAGGAGGAATCGTCATTCAAAAACAAAAGTGACCAATGGGATTGGCAAGAGATAGAATGACAGTTTCTAGATTTGTTCCGGAAGTGTGCCTGAGAGCAAAGAAAACTCAGCCGAGCCTGGTTCTGATTACCCTACTTGAAGGTTGACAAGAGACGAGGAGGAGATGGAAAGGGTATGACATCTTCAGCAACCAGAGGCCTAGAACCTTGTTTAAGATGGAGCTCACCTGTGTATTGCAAATCATTAGCTGCTGTCACTTTGCCGTTCACCAGATTAAATTTAACCTCTTCTGCACTTGACACTCAAGACAGAAACAAGACAAAAGATAGTTGCTTGCTCCTGAAGGGTTTGTGTGCTAATCTTTGTTCAGGTAGTGCAAATGCCTTCTTTGAAGGCCCTTCTTTAGTTGAGGATGATAACCCAAAATGAACAGGCAGCCACTGGGGTTGGCTCAGTTGCTTTTGTGATGGGTTCTCAAAAACTCTGTTTCATATCTTCTTTTGTTGTTGTTGAGCAGGATGTTTTGGTTGAAAGATGCTCTGCCCCTGTTCTCAATCAGTCAGCTGAACCTTTCTGCACTTTGCTTTAAAAAAAAAATGAAACAATCAGCAGACTGTCATAAAGTATTGGAGCATGTGCCGGTGGGTTTATACGGTTAACAGTACCTTTTCTAACTGAACCAAATGTTCATCGTGTTCCATCTCAGATGCTCATGAAATTCTATTGTATAATAAGAGCAGTGTCTGCCATTCCACAGACGCATACATAGCTTCATTTACCCATATGGCTACTCCTTAAAAAAAAAAAATTGCCAGCATCTCCAGGTTTTTTTTTAATGTTTTCTCATCTGATCAGCTACACCATGCTTTTCAGACAGATTCCTCTTGATAGGCCAACAGCAACAAAATTATTCCCGTTTTAAAGGGAAGGTTTTGCGGAAACCTAAGACAGCAGTTTATTGGGCAATGTGTTAGAGGGCTCTCCTTTTTGTTGTTGTTGTTTTTTAAAGTATAATCATTTATACAAGCTCATTCTGCCTATTTTTGGCTGTCTTACTGGCTTAGTTTAACAGTACTGTCCCCCTGTCTCTTTAAGAAGAATAATCGAACAGTATTTCATTGTGAGGTTCACCCAAACTGGGTAATTCCCAAGAAAACAATCAGACTAATAATTTAAGTCATGTCTGTTATTTAGCTCGTATTTAGCATAGATTCCTTCCCCCACACCTAGCTGGTGTGTCTGTCTGGCAGCTGTGTGGTCGGGTTAGGTAGGAATCCACATCTGTATGGTACAATATCATTGTTCTTCACCTGGGAAGTGCCACATGGTGTGCTTTGCTGCCAGATACGTACCACAATATAATGAAATATTGTGGAAGTCCACAGGTGAAGTGCTGTAAATAGAGAGAGCACAGCATTCCATGATTCCTCATGTGCCACAGAGGATCAGCTTTTGGAATGCCCTCTCTGCCGCTATTAAGGTTCTCTTTTATTTGGTGTTTTTCATTCATCACCAGTGTGCAAACTCTTTCACCCAAAGCTGCTGATATCTATATTCTATTTGCTGCATCTGTGCTAAATGTTTCATGGGAGAAAATATGTATCTTCAAAGATTTTTTTTTATAACAAACATTGGTTTCTTGTTTATATTCTTCATATATTGTTGTTACCTCTTGGAATTCTTAGCATGTTAAACCACTCTTGAATGTATTTGTTTCAAACTCTGAATTCCCTTATGGGTCAGTTGCTATGAGATAAGCCAGTGGCTTGGATCCAGAGATCTCAGTGGTAGGTGCTGATTTTCCCCACCCCCTAGCAGTCCCTTCCAAGCCCTGGGAAGATGATTTATTGGGGGGGTCACAGGACTTACATGGACAGATAGCTGCATTGGTCTGGGTGGGATGCTGTGAGAAGGATGTGGGGACAAAATCATCCATCTTCCACAAGCAGAGCTTTGCTTGCAGAAGAGGGAGGAAAAGGGACTGCTGGTGGGACTGGAACATGTCAGAAGCTTACATTTCACAGATTAATGGATCCAAGCCACTGTAATTTTTCTTTTGTTCAAGACCAAAATCAGAAGATGTTGATATCCTTGTGAACATTTCATGCTGTTCACTTCAGTGCTATCACCCACATTCCCTAAAGAGCTTATTGACAAAGCCCAAAGCGTGCCGAAGATCTCACTTGATTCATTACAGATGGAGATCTAGGTATATACATAGGAGTTTCATAAACAAAAGCCACATTTGTCAATAGAAAGTAGTGTTTATGTATACAGTTTATGTATACAGTTATATCATGCGCAGAATGTGCATGCAGACCTTTTAAAAAAATAGAAATTGCTGTTACCATTTATGGTGGCTGGGTTACAAAGAGGGGTTTTTGTGTGTTTTATATTTCGAGACCGAGAAAGAGAGTGCTTCCCCCTAGAAGAGTAAAGATGGTACCTACCCATGATACGTTATCCGTGCTGATCTTTCGCCTGCTCGTTTAATTGTAAATTATGTAAAATATTGCGTGGGAAAATTGCATTTTCTGTACTGAAATCAGTTTATCCTTGTGACAAACACACATTCATTTCATACTCTCTCTTCTGAATGGTGTGTGTTCTGTATATTTCTGTGGAAATGAGACCTGGACCAATAGAAACCGGGAAGATGAGCTTTGATCAGGTCGAGAAATATGATGCGGTTAGACTTGAGAGATGTAGCCCACAGCTGGTGAATTCCACATGTGAGCTCTAGCGATCTTACCTTTGTATTGAGAATTCTGGACGGTATTATTTTTTACCATTTAAAGGCCTTTTTCTACCTTTTTCATGTTCCTCCATCCTACTTTTTAACAATTGTCCCACCTGACTACACTCCAGGTTATATATATGTATGTGCGCATATATGTGTGTCTGTATGGGTTTTTTTTAAAGAATAATTTACAGTGTGCTTACTGAAGAAGAGGTTAACTTTGGTTCCTCTGGAGATTGTGCCGTATGAGCAGTCATTGATGGGGGGGCCTAACCTAGTACGGCATGGCCAAAACAGTGAACAGTGGCAGCAGGTTAGAACACTGCAAAATAGCTCTGATGAAAAGAGGCATTTTTTTTTAAAGGCCAGGAGAGCATCAAGTAAGAAGGGAGGACTCTAGCCACCCAAAGCAAAGTTATTGCCAGCTACCAGTATTAAAACTGGGTGGAGCACTGTTATGTATAAAATACAATATCTAATAAATACATGGAGTTTGGTTTCAGCTCTGCTTTTGGCTACTCACCTGTGAAAAATAAAAGTCCTGAATGCCTAAGAATAATTTGGTGGTCTCAATTTTTTTTAAAAAAATAAAAACAACCTTCAGTATACATTGAGTTCCAGCGACACTGATACTAGAAATGGAGACAGCATTTTAGGTTTCAGTCTAGCCATCCAAGAAGCCAGGGGTTTAAAACATAAGAACATAAGAGATGCCAATGTTGGATCAGGCCAAAGGCCCATCCAGTCCAACACTCGTGTGTCACACAGTGGCCAGAAATACCAGTGCCATCAGGAGGTCCAGCAGTGGCCAGGGGTTTAAAACCGATGCCAAAAATCCTTCAAGACCCACTGAATTGCGAACAGGCCAGTAGAGATGATGCGTATAGGTACGCATTAGTGCCTTAGGAATGCCCTGACCCGGATGCCTCTGGCTAGCCTGAGCTCATGAGATCTTGGAAGCTAGCAGGGTTGGGCCTGGTGAGAACTTGAGCATGCTGACCGGGCCCTGCACATACAGATTCTGTCTCCATGATCAGGAACAATGCATTTTCAGTATTCTTGATCACAAGTGTGGGGCCTACACATGCAAAATGCATGTGGGCCAGTGATGGAGCATCCGCTTTGCCTGCAGAAGGTCCCTGGTTCCATCCCAGCATCTCCAGCGAAAAGGATCAGGTAGGAGGTGATGTGAAAGGCCTCTGGAGAGCCAATGCCAGTCACAGTAGACAGTATTGGTCTCCATAAACTAATGGTCTGATTCAGTATAAGGCAGGTTCATGCATGCAGTCTCAGTGCCCATGGTTTGGTGGACACTTGGGTGTAGGCTTCCCAAGTCCCCCCGGGGGGGCGGGGAAACCCCCGCCCCAGAGGCCTGTTCCCCGCCGCTGGCAGATCGGGCCCCAGGGGGAACCCCACCCCGGCGTGCGTGTCACCAGGAAGTGACGTTATGATGCTGGGCATGCTGGGGGCGGGGCCACCGTCATCCAAGGGAAAACTATGGGTTTCCCTCAGATGGTCGTGGCCCTGCCCCCAGCGTGCCCGGCGTCATGACGTCACTTCCTGGTGACGTGTGTGCGGCACGCACGCGC